ATGTGGTTTCTTAACTATAAATGCTTTGAGGATGAACTCTTGCAACTTTTACAAAATATTATGAACTCTGTTTTACAGAGTGGAAAGAGCTGGAAAGAGGCTAATGTAGCATTAATATTTGACTTAACAAGAAACTATTAGCCAATGTAATTATTGAATAATGACTGTAAGTTGTTTGCAAAGATTTTGGCTGAGAGGTTGAAAATAATTTTGCAGTTCATGAAGATCAATGTGGGTGTTTACTTACTTTATGTTTAAAGGGTAATATAAGAAATATGTTGGACATTTTGGAATACTTGGAGCAACACAATGAAAAACAAGCCACATTGATTTTCTTAGATGCAGAAAAGGCCTTTGAGAATTTGAAATAAACTGCTTAAAATTATGAAAAATGTGAATTTTGGCACATTTTTAATACTGATAAGATTGATCTATACTTCACAGAAAGCTCATATAACTATCAATGGAGATCTAAAAATACTCTATGATATATAAAGAGGAACGAGACAGCTGACCATTCTCCTTTCCTGTTTATTTTAGTTCTTGAAATATTGAATATAAGTCAAAATGGGGGAATTGTGGAAGTAAATATTTAAAAAGAGACTTATAAGTCAAGGACACTTGCAACACCAATAATTTGGTGTTGATTCTGGAGGATAAAGGGAACAGAGACATCAAAGATATTTTTTTTAAAAAAAATGTACACTTGCATATTTTAAGATTAATAATTATAAGACAAAGATGTTTTCAAAAATATGGAAACAAGATCAAAAGAATTGATGAAGAAAAAGATTTAGAAGATAAAATACCTTCTAAGACAAATATGAAGTATATGTATTTCAAAATGTTTACATTAGGACATGGAATGAGCTTAAAAAATGATATATTAAATTGTAAAAAATTACAATTGTCATTGTTGGGGAAAATTTCTATGATAAAAATGAATGCTTTGTGGAGAATGATATTTTTGTTTCAGACAGTACCAGCTTTGATACCTGTTATATCATTTAAACTCTGGCAAAGGGGAACAACCCACAAGTTAAATATAAGGCATTACAAGATGCAAAGGAAAGACTTGGGTTTACCTGATTTCAAATTGTATTTACAGTTTGGTTTGGATGAAAAGAATGGAAAGAAGACTGTGTCTTCTAAGTGTCTATGGGAATTCTCAGTCTTCTAAGTCATGGCTGTCTCAAAGGTGCTTTTATCAAAAGGCAACTGGACTTTTGTTTTGTTTTGCTTCTCATCCAAGAAGCTTCTTCAGTTCTGACTGAATGGTAGAGAATGGAAGGATTTATATTCCTTGCAGTCATTTGGTCAAGGAATATAAATCCTTCCATTCTCCACCATTCAGTCAGAACTGAAGAAGCTTCCTGAATGAGAAGCGAAACATCTTCAAGGAAAAACAAAGAAAATCTAGTTGCCTTTTGATAAAAAGCATCTTTGGGTGTCTTCTAAGCCTTTTAGACTTAGAAAAACATGACCTGATAATTTGGGTGGCATGAGTATTTGTGGTACAACAAAGTTAAGCTTAATGGAGATTTCTAAAATCACTATGTTAGATGTTCCCTATTAAGAATATGGAGTAAATACAAATCTAGTTATGCCTTAAAATACTTTTGTGACTCTTGGCACAAGAAGCATTTTATAGACAAGAAATAATAGGCAAACATAAATGATTAGCACACCATGTAATACTAGAATTCTGTCAACTGGAATTTAAAATAAAATCAGGAGAATAACTGATGGCAGAAGGGCATAACTGTCAGTTGTTTTCTTATTTATCGTTATCAGAAATATTAGACAAAAGAATTTGTGGTATTATGTACTCTAAGACTGACTTAGAGGTGGAATTGTGTACAAATGATGAACATGTGATTGCTGAAATGTGTAAACTTTCATTGAAATTTTAAAGAGAACAAGCGAAAGAATGTATGATGAAGTGGGCTACAGTTGGGAAATGTGTGGCTTAAAGGATTGAAATTTACTACAATCTTAAAGAGAACTTTTATAAAATAATGTACCATTGATGTACAATGCCAGAAAATGATTCAGAAAGTATAAAGGTACTTCAAAGCCATGGTGGAAATATGAATGACGGGAAGAATCATGTTACCATGCTTGGTAGACATGTAAAAGGCAATAAAGAAGATTTGGGGTTCAAATGCCTACACCAATTCAGAGGGTTTAAAATATTAATATACAACTAATTGTATATTAATATACAAGCAGTTTTCCTTTTGGGATTTTTTTTTTAAATGGTTAAATGGTTGGGGAGGGAATCATGAAACTTTGTTTTTATATTTGATAACTGCAGCGGGAAAATTTTTATCTTTTGTGTGATTTATCACAGAAATTATCTTATTTATCTTTTCAAAGATGGAAAGATTTGGCAATACTTTCTATTGAAGAATGGTTGGTGAAGATGATAGAATTTGCTAAAATGGCCAGATTGACCTGTTTGATAAGAGAAAATATATCTACTGTACATTTATTGCTGACTAGGTCCTTTACGACCTATTTTGTGTAAAACAGAAAAAAATGAACTTATGATCTATAACTATTAGATAGGATAAATTATAGAAAAAAGAGACTCATAGTGTAACCTGAAAAAGAGGTAACTCTACAATTGTACTTATAACTGCTGTAAAGAAGATCAGAAGCCATTTCTTTATATCTTTTTTAATGTTTTCTGTTTTTCTTCTAGCCCTTTTCTTTTTCTTCCTTCCTTCCTTTTCTCCTTCTCACTTTATTTTAGTTTGTATTAATTTTTTCTCTTGCTTTTAAAACTTTCAAGAAAATTAAATTTAAAAAAAAACCCTTCGACACCACATGAATCTTGTTTTTTAAAATAAAAGACTGCCAAAGTTAAATGAATGTCACTTTTCCCCCAATTGCTGAGTTTGCTAGTAATGTTCATAAAATCTCATGCCCACTGCCTGTCACTATAGGCAAGCCACAGTAGGATCTATCTTTTAGTCATTTATAAGGTGAAGTACATAGTACCAATGCCCTGAGGCAGTTTGATTCCCTTCCAGTTCTGAAAAATAAAACTTTATCCAGCCTGCTCATCAATCCCATGTTGATAAAAACGGTTTATTTTCCTGAAAATAGGTGCATTTCTTTCCTCTTTATACGAGACAAATGTTTCAGGAAAGAAAAAACATTAATGAAATAAATTAAAACATAAGATAAAATATATGCTGGTACACACAAAAGCTGAAATGTATGTGTTTACATCATAGTAGAAGAAATTAACAGATACCAGCTGAAGGTTTTTTCTTCCCTGCAATATGAGCAAATAAATAAAAAAACATTGAGTTTTTTCATCCAAGTTTTGGTTTTTGGGAAGGGAAACTAATGATTGTTGCATTTGTCTCTTCCAAGCTGGATTGATAGCAACGAGTGCCACAAAAGCACACATTGATTTCCTTCCCTTGATCAATGTATTTTACGTTGTTGTTTTTTTAATCTACTGAAATCTTGAATTGTTTCTATAGAAGCTTAACATAATAAAAACTATGATTTTCTTCATGAATGATAGTTAATAGTTAGTTAATAGATAGTTCTTTTATGTATACTGAGAGCATATGTACCAAGACAAATTCCTTGTGTGTCCAATCACAGTTGGCCAATAAAAATTCTAATAGGATTAAAGCTCACTGCAAACTCTGGTACAACAGAGGTGTTCCAAAAGAATGAATAAAAACTTGATATTTTGATAAATACATTTCACATGCAGCTTTTTCTCTCTTTTGAAATATTAAAATACTAGATCAAATTGTGACATTTTTTGGACACTGATCTGCTCATAGCAAAAATAAGAAGCAATGAATGGGAGAGATACACAACGTAATGATTTCATAATCTAGGAAATCATAAAAGGAAGCATGTATATTTAATAAATGTATGAGTCATATTTCAGATAATAAGCCCTCACAATGACCTAAATAGAAAATTCATGTTTAAATTACCAAGGCTACAATCCAGCAAAAATATAAGCATAATTAAACTTCAGAGGGTTATATGGCCCATAGGTAGCAATATTAAGTATAATATTGCAAACAGTTAAAAAAGAAAAGTAGTTCCAATATTTTCTGCAAGCCACATTTTTGCAAAGAGAACGAACTTACCCTCCCTTTATTCTGTTTCATTCAGATCTTATCATATTAAAAAGCAAAACATAAAAATATGAGAAGAAAAATGTATTGGTTGTAGTCTCTGCCATGCTTGGTGATATATCATAGTTTCCTATAAGATTCAGAAACTGATCTTTTAATACAAGAAGAAACTGTTTGTAAACAATGGACAAATGGCAGAAAGCGTCACATGCAGAAAACAAGCAGATGTTGACTTTAAAAGACAGCTGAAGAAAACCCAGGATTTAAATCTGTGGGTTAACATACTGTTTTGTTTTTTTTAATTTGATTTATATGCCGCCCTTCTCCGGAGACTCAGGGTGGCTTACAATGCATTAAGCAATAGCCTTCATACTTTTATACAAAGTCAGCTTATTGCCCCCACAAACTGGCTCCTCAATTTACCTACCTTAGAAAGGATGGAAGGCTGAGTCAACCTTGAGCCTGGCAAGATTCGAACTTGCAGTAATTGCAGACAGCTGGTGTTAAATTACAGTGCTTCTGTCTGTTGAACTAAACCAGGCTCTTATATACTGCCCTCTATATACTGTATATAGAGGGCAACATTCTGGTGTGCTTTTTGATGATGAGTTTCTTCCTCTTTTAAATTCCTAGGTTTTTTGCAATAAATCTACATATAAAACCTTGTGTCTGTCTGGGAATAGAAATATGGAGAGTGTATCACTGCTACAAAGCCTGGATAATTCTGGTGAACAATTTATAGGATGAATGCAAATGTAGCCCTTGAAAAAGAAACAAAACCAATTAATTTCCAAATCCAGCCCTTTTGATATTAATTTTGGCCTTGTCCTCTTACTAGTATATTGGAGACTCACTGTATATCTATGTTTTCTTCCACAGAGGTGGCAGAAAGAAAACTGACCATGGAGGAAGAGGAAGCCAAACGTATTGCAGAAATGGGAAAGCCAATACTGGGTGAACATCCAAAACTGGAGGTCATCATTGAAGAGTCCTATGAGTTCAAGGTCAGTGCTGTGTATTCAGGGTTTTTGCAGGAAGTGAGAGAAAGAAAAGCAGGAAAGGAACTAAAGAGAAAAATTGGTTAGCAGAGCTAAGCAGAAGAAAGGAAGAGGACTGAAAGGAAAAAGGAAAGGTGCAACAGAAGAAGAGGTTTGCAAGGAATGCTAAGCTAAGGCAAAAGTCCAGGCTAAGTCCTGGGAGGGAAGAGAAGACAATGAGAAAAATAAATAAAATGAGGTCAGGGAAAGAGAGCAAGTCTGAAAGAAAATAATTAAGAGATGTTTTGAAGAATACAGTCCTACTTTAACAATAAGGGTATGTCCAGAAGTTTCACCACTGTCTTCTGAACAGTGAGGAATGGAAAGTCCTACATCAGAAGATAGGTTAGGTTGCTGCTTTGAATTATTTGTAAAAAAAAAATAGAGACAGGATATAAAAAAGAATCTAATAAATAAATAATAAAAGATTCAAGAGACATAACTAAGAACCAACTAAGCCAAACGTGTGATTTTTTTCCTAGCTAAAAGGATTATCACACTGATATATGTGAGAAATTAACTGGCAAATATGCTAAATTTTATTCTGCTGTTTTCAGTTGCTAATCCTTACCGTCAAATGACTCCAAGGCCAAACTGGCATGCCCTTACATCTAGCTGAAACAGATTTCTGTCCCTCTGAAGGTTGGTTGCCCTGGAAATTGTTTTTAGCGACACGTCTGTCTCAATCCAGGTCATGTCTGCTAAGACTCATAGAACACTGTAGAGGAATTTGAGCTTGCTAAGTTCACGCCAGTATGAAAGGGATTTACTGTATGAATGGGAAATAATTTATCCATTGACAGAGTACATTGCGGGCTGTGAAAGAAGAATGGCATTTACCAAGAAGGGAGAAAGTTTTATATGAGTAAAAAAGCAGAAGGTGCCCTTTTTCTTAATGATGCAACTATGACTTTTGGCAAACAACCTTGTCATAAAATGACTTCCTGACCTGCATACGGTTTGATGTTGATATCTTTCATTTCTTTTATTCATTTCTTTCATGGACACTATCTGTGGCTTAAGTTAGCTTCTTGCCGTTAATGCTTTCTCAAAGAGTTAAGACCACAATTACAAGGAAACCTATAAGGAAGGGAAATTCTGGGTCATGTGATTATAAAACCCTTGGAAGACCCCTGCATGGGAAAGCTGCCTAACACCTTCAGTCAATCTCCACGTTGACTGAGAGATGCTCCAAAGGAAGGTCTTTAGTAAAACCAATATTCTTGTGTCCTTCTAATTGACAGAGTACAGTGGACAAGCTCATCAAGAAGACAAACTTGGCGTTGGTTGTAGGAACTCATTCATGGAGAGACCAGTTCATAGAAGCCATCACTGTCAGTGCAGGTGAGACAGAGTTGAATGCCTTGTACTCAGATAAGGAAACAATCACTCAGAGGCAGAGGGGAATTCTAACATGAATTCTTACTTCGGGAGTTTTTATGAAGCTCTTGCTGCTCAATAGATGTTATGAACAGGTGAAAGTGTTTAACTTGCTTGACTTTGGTTTGACTTTTTTGAGGGGTGGGGTCCATGCACTGGATAGTAAATGAGTATATATTAAGTCTGATAATAAATTTTTAGTTAATTACTTGTTTTTTAACTTACTTAACAGCATGGTGTTCAAAAAAAATCACTGAATGATGAAATTTCCAGGAAATGTAAAATCACAATAAAAAGAAAATTTACAGTTTAATAAAGAAAAGTTTTTCACTGATTATTAGAAAGGAACTGTTTTTTTAAAAATAATTCCTGTTACTGTAATTTTCCAGAATCAGAATGGGTAAAATTAATTCCTTTAATTCCCATTGCCAGTAATCAACATTAACCCCACACTATTAAAATTGTTCTTGACTGATCAGTTGGGTTTAATTTTGAGTAATCCAGCTGTTTTTATTTAAATAATGTAGTAAAATCTAACTAGTTGATTTATCCATTCAATTAAATTAGATTGCTTAATCCTTTGGATAGACTTTGGTAACTCATTTCAATACATATCACAGAACCTGCCTCCTTAGTGATAAACAGTGCTTTAAATCCACCTGTGGTTAGGCACGCTAAGGGCTTCTGTTTTAAGTGAACTCCGTGATTCGCAAATAATCATAGTATTTGAGCTGGATACTAGCATTCTTCCTGGGAAAAGAGTTCATTTCCAATAAGCCTACAGTTTCTGCTGTATGTGAGCTGCCCAGAGACAATGAGAAAAGTGAAAAGAAAATTCCAGGCATTCTGTTTATGAAAGTATTCTCACTATCAACTGTGGGACTTCCTTGCTTAGGGCAGTTTGCATTTCAACACTTACTATGTCTCTCTCACTCCTCTTTTCTTCCTTCCCTATTTGAGCATGGCTTAGGGAATACTCTGCCTGCAGCCCAAATCACTCATTCCCCCCAAATAAAAACCATCAGAATCAACAGGATCTGTTTTCACAAAGGCCTGTTTTATATCAAACTGCCGATTTGTTGTTCCCATACCTCTCCTTTACCTGTTCCCAGTTTATTTTATCCTCATTTTGTGATACGTGCTTCCTGTAATAGTGCATACCCGTGTTTCTCCAAAAAGAAGGCTGGGTCTTATTTTCTTTTGACCTCCGAAAAAATGGCTAGGACTTCTTTTCAGTGGGGTGTCTTAATTCCCGCCCCCACCCCCCCAAGAATCGCAGGCAATTCTGGAAGATTGTCGGAAGCAATTGTGCCTGCAATTCTCGTTACTGTGGGAGGCTGCATGTTGCAAAGAAGAACGAAGCGAGGTGGTGGGGGGGTGGAGGACGAAGCAAGGCAGGGGTGCAGAGCTGCACCAAACTAGCACCAGCATAGGGCGTCTGGATTGCCTGCCTCACCCGTGCCAATGCCAGTGCCGGTGCCACCGCGCAAGCCTCCTGCGAGCCTCCCAAAAAGAGAGAAAAAGCAAAGCAGCTGGCCACGGAGCTGCCGGCTTCGGGCAAACAGCCCAACAAGCAGGCCCAGAAAAAGAAGGGCAAAAGTGATATTTCCGCTGCCCCAAGCAGCCAGCGGGCTTCAACTGCAGCCGGACAGTTGCCTTGCACCCACACTGCCATACATGCTGGCCCCGCCCATCCCCCCATGCTTATTTTCAGGGTAGGGGTAATATTAGGCCCACCCCCAAAAAATTAGGATAGGGCTTATTATTGGAGTGGGTCATGTTTTCGGAGAAACACGGTATTATTAAACAAGTTCTTCTCAAGATTACACTGTGCAAGTCTTCAATCTCAGGATTTTGCCCTCATCCATGGTAGCCAACTGCCAGTGCCAAATATGCCAAGACACAATGAAGTTCAGGTGGAAAACATTTCCTATTTGATCTACTGCTACTTATTGTGTTGATGGAAAACCTTGCCACTAGCAAAGACAGGCTGAAAAGCAGGAGCTCCTACATTTTGTGCCCAATGGATGTGTTTGAGATTTTGAGAGAGTGTCACGGGCACCGTTACAGATTTGTTTGGTTTTTTTTAAAAGAGCAGCATGATTAGAAATCAGAAGATTAAAGTTACCAACTACTCCACTGTCTTGCTTTTCTTTCTAAAAGAATCCTTTGAATTCATGCATTGCACAGAACTATCCTCGGAGACAAAAGGGGAAGAAGCAGGATTGGGATTCAAGTAATTTAACAACCGGTTCTCTGCCCTAATGATTTCTTCCAACAACCAGTTTGCCAAACTGCCCAGAAAGTTAACAACCGGTTCTCCCGAAGTGGTACGAACCGGCTGAATCCCACCACTGGGAAGAAGGGAGTTGGAGACTAGGAGCCTCTTGCTTTCTAACTAGCCAAAGCAAGTTTTGTAGAGCCAAGAACTCTGTCCAAATAGGAAAGGTCATGAAGCTTAAGTGGGTGTTTGGTTAAATGCTGGGCAGAGCTGTGATATAGGGTTGCAGGTCAAGTCACGGTTAATCCCAAGAGGAGTTGAAGGAAACCATTATTTGAGACAGAACAAATTGGATTTCATTTTTCACCCATTTTTCTCAGTGCAACCCAAGTGTTTAGTGCAAGAAATCTCTTAAACAAGGTAATCCATTTCAAATCCACCTTCCAGATGCAAAGCTGTTAGATGAAATATGTTGGTGACTTTTATTTATTTGATTGAATGAAATGGCTGCCCATCTCACAGCAGTAACTCTGGCCAGCATGCAGCGTTTAGCATGCAGAGTTAAAAACAACAGTGTAAACAATCTGAACCATAATGTTCAATAAGCCCAGCTGATAAGAAAACATTAACCAGCAGAGCCTTAACCCCGGAGGAACTAGCTATATCATAGAAACTCTGAACCCTTTTGATTGTTCTGCCCATGTCAGCTGAATTTGAGCCTCACTACAAAGGAAAGACTTCAAGGGGGGTATGGAAATTCCAGCTATGACATTCATATTGGTAGTAATGTATTTACCCAAGTACTATTACATTCTTTTTCCTTACATCCAGTGGTGAAATCCAATTTTTTTTTACTATTGGTTCTGTAGGCGTGGCTTGGTGGGCATGGTGCGGTGAAGCTTAGTGGGCGTGGCTTGGTGGGCATGGCAGGGAAAGGATACTGCAAAATCTCTATTCCCACCCTACTCCAGGGGAAGGATACTGCAAAATCCCCATTCCCTCCCCACTCCTGGGAGAAGGATATTGCAAAATCTCCATTCCCACCCCACTCTGGGGCCAGCCAGAGGTACTGTTTGCCGTTTCCCTGACCTACTCAAAATTTCTGCTACCTGTTCTCCTGAACCTGTCAGAACCTACTGGATTTCATCCCTGCTTACATCCCTCCCCCCACACCCCAGCATAGCATTACATGCACAATCATGTTGGAATAAAGGTAGATTAGTATTACCTAGTACATTTCTTGGTCTTCAGCAATAGATTGTCATGGATTGCTTCCTGATTATTTAACAATGGTAAACAATTGTAGTAGCCATCTATTACTGAAATAAAATTGGAGGGAGACTTTTACTAAGAGAAATGTTTGTGGAGAAAATATTGTTTTGAGATTTCGAGCAGATTGTTGGACTCAAGAGTTCTTTAATCCCAATCATATATCTTTTGCATCAAGCTTCAGTTAAAACTTTTAAGGTCCCAGAGCTGGTCCCCTCCTGAATTTTACTGTACTGTGTAAGAGAAATCAATCTTGTAACCTTGGGCACTGAGAAGTATGAGCCCTTCTAGCGCCAAATACTGAAGTTCATCCACCTTACTGTGTGAGAAATAATTTCTTTGAATAACTTTAGTTCAAATGCTTGCTTCTTCTGAGAAAAGATGAAGAAGATTGCCTATCTTCAATCTTTTCACAATGCTTTTCACTGTTGCTATGGTAATAAATGTGGTCATCCTCTAGGTACTCATATAAGAACAAAGTTAAGGACATTAAGTGTTGCTTCCCTTGCTGTTACCTACTTTCAAGGTTTATATTATCATTACAAGGGATAAGGAACCCCAGTGCAGTCTCAAACTGTTTATCCCTGCTAACTCTCCAGAAACTAATAAAATCAGAAGGAATGAAAGTGCAGTTTTAATACTGCCTTTTTTTTTTAATCACTCGTGAAAGTTTCTGACTAGAAAAAAATAATAATAATAATAATAATAATTTTATTTCTATACCGCCCTTCTCCCGAAGGACTCAGGGCGGTGTACAGCCTATTTAAAACACAGAAACAAAACAACAGTTAAAATTTAAAATCATTAAATAATTAGGCTCCAATTAAAATCCCAGAAATTTAAAATACCCCAATTTAAAACGTTATATTAATAGTCCGGCCTGGCGGAACAACAGGGTCTTCAGAGCGCAGCGAAACACTCGGAGGTCGGAGATCTTACGTATTTCCAGGGGCAGTTCATTCCACAGGGCTGGGGCTCCCACAGAGAAGGCCCTCCCCCTGGGTGTCGCCAGCCGACATAACTTGGCCGATGGCACCCTGAGGAGACCCTCTCTGTGGGAGCGGACTGGTCGGTGGGAGGCTATTGGTGGCAGAAGACGGTCCTATGCCATGGAGCACTTTAAAGGTGGTAACCAACACCTTGAATCGCACCCGGAAGACCACTGGGAGCCAGTGCAGCTCGCGCAGGAGGGGTGTCACGTGGGCGCAACGAGTTGCGCCCATAACCACCCGCGCGGCCGCATTCTGGACCAGTTGGAGCCTCCGAGTGCTCTTAAAGGGGAGCCCCATGTAGAGAGCATTACAATAGTCCAACCGGGAGGTGACAAGGGCGTGGGTGACCGTGCGCAAGGCGTCCCGATCCAGAAAGGGCTGCAACTGGCGAATCAGGCGAACCTGATAAAAGGCCCCCCTGGCCACGGCCGTCATGTGCTCTTCTAAAGACAGTCGTGCGTCCAGGAGGACACCCAGATTGCGAGCCCTCTCTGTGGGGGGCAAGGATTCACCCCCAATAGTCAGCGATGGCACCTGCTGACTATATCGGGGCGCCGGAAGCCACAGCCACTCGGTCTTGGAGGGGTTGAGTCTGAGCCTGTTCCTCCCCATCCAGGCCCGCACGGCCTCCAGGCAGCAGGACATCACATCAAGGGCATCGTTGGGGTGGTCTGGGGTGGAGATGTACAACTGAGTATCGTCAGCGTACAGATGACACTTCACCCCAAAACCACGGATGATCTCACCCAGCGGCTTCACATAAATGTTGAACAGGAGAGGCGAGAGGACTGACCCTTGTGGCACTCCCCATGCGAGATGCCTCGAGGTCGACCTCTGTCCCCCTGCCAACACAAACTGCGAGCGGTCGGAGAGGAAGGAGGAGAACCACCACAGAACGGTTCCCCCTATTCCTAACCCCCTCAACCGCTGCAGCATGATACCATGGTCGATGGTATCAAAAGCCGCTGAGAGGTCTAATAGGACTAGGACAGAGGAGCAACCCCTGTCCCGAGCCCTCCAGAGATCATCCACCAACGCGACCAATGCCGTTTCTGTGCTGTACCCCTGCCTGAAGCCCGACTGGTACGGGTCCAGATAGATAGCTTCATCCAGGTGCCGGGGAAGTTGTCGTGCCACCACGCTCTCAACAACCTTTGCCACAAAACGAAGGTTGGAGACTGGACGATAGTTAGCTAATTCAGCCGGGTCCAGGGAAGGCTTCTTGAGGAGGGGCCTCACTACCGCCTCTTTCAAGGTGGCAGGAAAGGCACCCTCACTCAAAGAAGCAGTTATAATCCCCTGGAGCCAGCCTTGTGTAACCTCCCGGGAGGCCAGCACCAACCAGGAGGGACACGGGTCCAATAAACACGTGGCGGCACTAATCTTACCCAGAACCCTGTCCACATCCTCGGGAGTCACAGGATCAAACTCCTCCCAGATAACATTCTCAAGACCTGCCCTCGTCTCCTCCCACGGACTCATCCAGTCGGAGTCCAAGCCATCCCGAATCCGAGCGACTTTATCATGCAGGAACTGTACAAAATCCTCAGCACGACCCTGCAAGGGATCTTCCCACACTCCCCCCCGGAGAAGGGAGTGGGTCACCCTAAACAAGGCGGCTGGGCGGTTCTCTGCAGATGCGATAAGAGCGGAAAAGTGGTTAGACTTTGCCGCTTTTATCGCCACTAGGTAGGTCTTGATATAAGACCTCACCTGTGTCCAGTCGGAATCGGATTGACTAGTCCTCCAAATGCTCTCTAGGCATCTTTTCCGACGCTTCATCTCCCTCAGCTCCTCAGAAAACCAGGGAGCCAGTTGAGATCGGCATCGGGTCAGAGGCCGCAAAGGCACGACGCGGTCCAAAGCTCCAGCGGCCGTCCTTTCCCAGGCGGCCACCAGCTCTTCAGTCGACTCGTGTGTTAGGGTCTCAGGGAACGGCCCAAGCTCCGTCAGGAACCTTTCAGGGTCCATCAGGCGCCTGGGACGGAACCATCTAGTTGGCTCCATCTCCCTGCGGCGGGAGAAGGCGGTAGGAAAGTCTAGTTGGAGGAGCGAATGATCTGTCCATGACAAGGGTTTAATATCTAGGTCCCCTCTACCAAGATCATTCAACCACTGACCAGAGACAAAAATCAGATCCAGAGTGTGTCCCCCTATGTGAGTTGGGCCTTGAACTAACTGGGTCAGGTCCATGGCCTTCATGGAAGCCATGAACTCCCGAGCCGCCTCTGACGCTTCACCCGCGGATGGAAGGTTGAAATCCCCCATGACAATAAGTCTGGGGGTATCAACCGCCACCCCGGCAATGATGTTGAGTAGCTCGGGCAGGGTCGCTGCCACGTGGCAGGGAGCCAGGTACGTAGTCAGCAAACCCATCTGCACCCCACGGCCCCACTTCACACAAAGGGACTCACATCCGGCTATCTGAGGAACAGTGGTCTCCCTCGGACAAAGACTTTCCCTAATAATCACCGCCACTCCCCCACCCCTCCCCTGGGCCCTTGGCTGATGGAATGCACGGAAACCTGGCGGGCACATCTCAACGAGGGGGACCCCCCCTCCTGGCCCAACCAGGTCTCCGTAATACCTGCCAGGTCCACACACCCCTCCAAAATAAGATCACAAATGAGGGGGGCTTTATTAACCACCGACCTGGCATTACACAACATCAGCCGCGGACCCTGGGCCTGAGACTCCACACAACCCAGGACACGAGTCACGCATTGGGGGCCGGAGTGCGCAATCGCTCGTAGATAGCGTATGCGCACCCCCGACACTTGATATGACCCCCTGCGTCTGTCATACCTGCCCCTCCCACTCATTATTTCAATTTCGCAGCTCTTCCTGTCATCCCCTTGCTCCCCGGTTAAGTTTCCTTTCACGACCCTCCTGCTGCAACTAATCGACCTATCATCCCGCTCAGTCGCTATCTGGGCCCCCCCAGGTCCATTTTACAACCCCCTCCCTCCCAGGTCCCCTTAAAATTTTCTTTAAAAATTTAACTAAAAAACCCCTCAACCCCCTCTTCGCTACATGCCATCTCTCGGGGTTCCAAAGCCCGTCATCAAGATAGGCCCTCGATAATGTGGAGGGCCAGGCCTGCGAGAGGGGGGAGTCTCGCAGCGCGAGAAGGTCGGCTTTTTGGAGCATCAACCGAACCAAGATGGGAAAGAGAGGCCAGTCCGGGGGTCTATCATAGTCCAAAGGGATAACTGAGCAAAGATCACAAAATGTCCGTTTGTAGAGCTGGACTCCACTGTCCTCTCACGACAGGGAGAAGGTCTTTTTCCATGGACTTTTTCCATGGTCACCTTTGAGGAGATTGATTTTTTTTTTTTTACTTTTCCTCAGTATACTGATGTCTTTATGCTGCACCACTATTTTGGAATATATAGAGATCATCTATAATTAAATAGGTAGCCTTTCAGGAAGCATAGAGGTATACAATGATAAATTCCTTGTGTACCTTTTGGGAGGTAAGAAGAACAACATAGAACAGGGGGTCTCCAACCTTGGCAACTTTAAGACTTGTGGACTTCAACTCCCAGAATTCCTCAGCCAGAAAAGCTGTCTGAGGAATTCTGAGAGTTGAAGTCCACAAGTCTTAAAGTTGCCAAGGTTGGAGACCCCTGACATAGAATGCTGCAGGCAAGAAAATTGGTTACTATCAAAGAGCCTCTAAAGGCTTCATGTCTGCAGGAGAAGGTGGAGCTGTGTGATCAAGAAAACAGAGCAGTTTCAGGAAGAAGATAGGTGACAGGATCAAGAAGTAGAGACTCAGAGGAAACAGCCAGTAAGCAATGTTCATAGGAAGATTGGAAATGAGAAGACAAAATCAGGACAAATTTCTGGATCAAACAGCAGCATGGCACTAGATGGAGGTTTCCTAATCTGGTAGCCTCCATGTATATTAAGATGACAAGTCCAGCCCTCCATATCTCTAGAGGGCAGCTAGTTGTGTATGACTGTGCTGGACATTCTGAAGTAACTTACTAGAACACATGCTGAAGCTTCTTGGGAGCTACCCAATAACCTGAAGTTCAGAAAAGCAGCTCTATCAGGTGGCTTTATTTATCCCTTAGCCTGGAATGTTCCCTTTTTGATCAGATGATGGTTCTAAATACAAAAATGGCTGTGGACCATACAGGGCAGGCAAGAAAGTTATTCTTCTGCGAAACATGATTAACTACCTAAATAGTTGTCCCAAATGTGCTTTTTCAGGAGGCAACTGGACTTCCTTGTTTTTTTCTTTGAAAAAACATGGTGGGGAATGGAAGCAAGGAATACAAATCCTTCCATTCCACACCATTCAGTCAGAGCTGAAGAAGCTTCTTGGATGAGAAGTGAAACATCTTCAAGGAAAAAACAAGAAAGTCCAGTTGCCTCCTGAAAAAGCACCTTTGGGACAACCATGACCTGGATGACTGAGAATCTCTACAGACTTTTATCTAAATGGTTGTTTTCATAGAGAACCTTTTCAAGGGACAGATCAGTAGTTGATACTAGCCTGTTCGAGCACGTGCATACAGTGAAAAAGTTTGGAAAACTGTATTATCTTGGTCCTGTTCATCTGATGTGCATATTGGAAAGCGAGGTATTCTGAGAAATGAATAAAGCCACAGTGCCTCCAAGAGCCCAATAAAGCGGTGATTGTATGACTTGCTATCCCTTCACTATTTCTAAGGTTGGAGCGTTGGGGTTTTGCATAGCATCCACTGATCTGAAGTTCTCAATTTTGTCTTTCCTACAGCAGGCGAGGAGGAGGAGGATGAGTCTGGTGAGGAGCGCCTGCCCTCCTGCTTTGATTATGTCATGCATTTCCTGACTGTCTTCTGGAAAGTGCTCTTTGCCTGCGTGCCCCCAACAGAGTATTGCAATGGCTGGGCCTGCTTCATTGTGTCCATCCTGATCATTGGTATGCTCACTGCCATCATTGGAGATCTGGCCTCCCACTTTGGCTGCACAATTGGCCTCAAGGATTCTGTGACTGCCGTGGTCTTCGTGGCCTTTGGCACTTCAGTCCCAGGTGAGACTGGAACTCTTTGAAATAGGAGGGTAGCACCACAATGCAGTGGTGAAATCTAAAATTTGTTACTACCAGTTCTGTGGGCATGGCTTGATGGGGGGGTAATGTGACTGGGTGGGCGTGGCCATTTTTATTTTATTTTATTTACTTTTAAAATCATTTTTTCTACAACCTCTTTGGCAAAGAGGTTGTAAAAAAAATGCTTTCAAAAGGCTCTGACGATCCCAGCTGAATTGCCTGATCAGCAGAGGCTTTTTTTATTTTAAAAGTCTTTGACGATCCCAGATGAGCCATGCAATCATCAGAGGTTGTTGTTTGTTTTTTTTTTTACTTTTAAAAGCATTTTTTCGGTCAAAGAGGTTGTAGAAAAAATGCTTTTAAAAGTAAAAAAAAAAAAGCCTCTCTGATGATTGTGTGGCTCAGCTGGGCATGGGGGGGCAGGGATTTTTGCTACCGGTTCTCCAAACCACCCACCTCCATCGTTACCAGATCGGGCGATCCAGTCTGAACCGGGAGCATTTCACCCCTGCCACAATGGCTTCTTAACTATTCCATCACTAACAATGATTGCAAGCTATCATGGGGTTACGTGCAGCTTCCTAGAAATGTCCTCCAAAAATGATGTTAAAAAAATAATCCAGGCTTATTCAAAGAGAATAAGCAGGGGCATCTGAAAGCCAGTTACCGAATTTTTATAAGGAAAAGCAAGAAGAAGAAATTATGTTTGCCTTACTTAACTCCTGGGAGGGCTGTCAAGTAGGAAAAATAATGAAGAAATACTTTGCATCACCTACCAGCCTTTTTGGAATTTATGATGTATTGCGCCTTCCAAACATATGTATGTATAAATAAAAAAAAGAATGTCAGCAAATGATAAAGTGCCTCATACTTTATCTCAAGAAGTCTGCTACAAATATTCCAGCTGAACTTCTTAACAAAGAAACTGTTAGAAATGATTCTTTAAAATATTTCGGGTAGGACTTGTTTATGGAGTAGGGAACATTTCAGTATCTTCCTTCTTTGCACAAAATTAACAGCCTTGATTGTGCATATCACTACCAAATTAGGTTACAAATAAGTCACTTCCACCAAACAGGTTTCCAATTGTTTTCATTCTTACGCTAAGAAAACACTTTAAGGTATTTTATGCTAAATGGTAGCATATAAACACAGCTATCATTTAACAAGCCCTGTTGCTACTAAGACTAAATGCTACGTATAATTTCAATAGTCAAGGCAGCCAAAAGCCATGAGACACAATCCAGAATCAATGTAGTACTTTTTTCCTTTGATCCACTGAATATAAATAGGGTTGCACATGCTGCCAAATGCTGTTCCTCAGCATCATCTGTGGTCCCACTTGCTATCTTGCTGATTTTGACACCGCCCACTCCTGCAGAAACATCTGCTTCTTTCAAAAATACGATTTGATTAAATTTCAAACCGTGAATAAAAACTAAGCAAACCAGCAAAAAGAAGTGCAAAAAAGAAGAAAAAACATAGATGTAATATAGACGATTGTTAATTTTAGAGTACAAGTTGATGGTGTTTTTTTTTTACCAATATCTCTACCAGAGAAAGTTGGAAGCCACATGCTCATCCCTCCGCAAACACTTCTACTGTCCAACCTCAGTTTATCTATCAAGTCTCTCTGGGTGTAAATGGAAATGTGAGAAGGAAACATTTGCATGTATGGTTCTCCTTTGGAGTACAACACATAAAAGGAGGAGGTTATCATGACTGGAGCCTTTTCAGGCATTCATCTAAACCAGTGTTTCTCAACCGTGGCAACTTGAAGATGTGTAAATGCATGGTTGGCTGGGGATTTCTAGCAACTGAAGTGCACCCATCTTCAAGATGCAAAGTTGAGAAACCCTGATCTTAATAAATGGAACAAATAAAGAAACACCAGAGGCCTTGAAAGTGGGTGGAGGAAAGATATGCATGTTATTGCTAATTCCACTTACTAATCTCCTCAAATTTCACATTGGAGGTCTAAGAGGGACATTTATGGTTATTTTTCCGTGAATGGAACAGAAGATGATCCCCAGCTGAATAGGGACAAGTGGGTATGAGTGCAAAAGTCCAGCCCTGCTTTGGATTTCTTGGAGATGGGGCCAGTATACACATCCCACCAACCAGGTTGGGAAAGATTAACTTAAGACCTTGTTCTCTTAATGAGATATCACTGATGGGATTGATTAGATTAAGTACTCTTCAGCACATCTCTTTCACGTGAGTTGTCATCCGAGCACACATCTTAATGCTGTTTCCCCTTCCTTTTTCTGTCCTAAAATGTATCCCCATCTTCTTCACAACGGGACCATGTTTGTCTTCTTTCTATTGGGAGGACTGCTTGAACTTGAACTTATGCATTGGTTTCTTTTCCCTTCCAGATACTTTTGCTAGCAAAGCAGCCGCTGTTCAAGACATTCATGCAGACGCTTCCATTGGCAACGTCACAGGCAGCAACGCAGTCAACGTCTTCTTGGGCATTGGACTGGCATGGTCAGTAGCTGCCATCTACTGGGCTTCTCAAGGAGAGGAGTTCCACGTGTCAGCTGGCACTCTTGCCTTTTCTGTGACACTGTTCACCATTTTTGCTTTTGTCTGTATCAGCGTGCTATTGTACCGAAGACGGCCTCATTTTGGAGGAGAACTAGGAGGTCCTAAAGGGTGCAGACTTGCCACAACTTTGCTTTTTGTGAGTCTGTGGCTGTTGTACATTTTATTTGCTACCCTGGAGGCCTATTGCTACATCAAGGGGTTCTAATTCCTGGAGAGATTTCAAGCCAGAAGGGAGGCCTTCTCCTCCTCTGATACCTCATTGAACACCAGTCCTAAGAGTGTTGTCTAACCAGGAGTGGCCGCTCACTATCAATTTTCCAGAACTGCCCAGGTTAAAGGATGACCGGGCTTCAAGAAGGGCAAAATTATCATCATAAAAAGTCAAGACAGATATTAAAATAAAGCCAACAGCATCAATCATTCAGTCAAATCAGAAACATCAGCAGTTCCTAAAGTACCCATTTGCTGAATTCTTCTGTAAGACTCCACAATGTTCATTCCTCCACTTTACGAAATATATATTCAGATAACGATCTTATAAAGCATTGGGATGGGTGTTGTTTTTTTTTAATTTGGGGAGGGTGAATCTTACCTGATCTATTTTCCTTTTTTAACACAAAGAAAGGGTCTGAAAAAAAAATTACAGGTTCAACTTTCATGCCACATCAGAGCTGGAGTTGAAAATGCTCTATATTTTTTACTCTATATGAACATTTAATTATCATTTTTCACTTTGTTTTAGAGTTATAGTGCTATTGTATTTTAAGTGCAAACATAACCCATATAGACATGACACCAACACGTACGGACACACAGACGAAAACTACAGTTGAAAACTGGAGCATGTAGCAAATAATACACCTCCCTGGGCTACCAAAAAAAAAAAAAAAAGAACAAGGAGAACAAACTGTAAAGATATTCTATGTAATGTGTATATTTTGAATATGGCAAATCTCTTTGTGTAATTAACATAAAAGCTTTTAGCACTGCAGAATTAAATATATATAAATATATATAGTTATTTATACACAGCAAATAAATCAATGCAAAGGAAAAACTGCAGTGTGAAAAATACAAGCAAAAGAAAACCAGCACAAGTTTATTACTATTGTCATTATCATCATCATTCTCATTCTCATCGTCATCACCTTCTTCATCATCATCTATTTGTTCCATATGTGGAAAAAGAAGATTCTTTTTTAAATAGATAATAATTTATGTAAATACAGTTTTCACACTTTTTGAGTGTTAAGATATCACTCAAAACCCTTCAAGAATTATATTGTTTTGCTTTGACTTTGCTCTTTAAAACACTAAATGAAGTTTAAAACAATGGCAATACCTCTATACGTTTTGTCAGATTGGATAATGGAATCCCTCTTTAACAAAGGTTGTTTTAAAAAAAAAGCTACATTCAAATCTAATACTAAATCCTAGTTTGACGTTAACTTGAGGCCTGGTGGTGCAGTAGTTAGAATGCAGTATTGCAAACTAATTCTGCCGACTGCCAGGAATTCGATCCTGAGCAGCTCCAGGTTAATTCAGCCTTCGATCCTTCTGAGGTCAGTAAAATGAGGAGCCAGATTGTTGGGGGCAATAGATTGACTCTGTAAACGGTGCAGTAAAGGGCTACGAAGCAGTACATAAGTCTTAAGTGCTAAGTCTCCTGTTCATGTTTAAAGAGCACATTCCCCCCCCCTTTCTTCCTCCAATGTGATTACAAACAGGAGATTGGAAAACGTCTAGTGTCAGTTAATTATTATCATAATGCGACAAATCAAAATTTAGTGGAACTATGCCTGTCCAAAGAAGTTAACTCAAATGTGATTTGCAGTTATGGCTTGTTCAGGTGATATGAACAGAGAGGGATGATATGGGTAACATAACTATATTTTAATAGATATGGAGTGAAGATGTCTGATTGTGATTGCCCATTACCAACATTAGCCAAGAATGAAAGTAAATTATGAAACAGCTGCAATGCGTTATTACTAATCTACATTTTGCCATTGCTTGGTGTTCCAACGAGATAATTTATGAACCCCTTTCAAGATACAGGACAATCTTTCAGATGATGCTACTAGAGAGTCGCTGCACTTTCTTGTAAAAATGACCATCAATCTTGAGGGTTTGCAGAGGGATTTCCATTTTTTTCCCCCTATAGAAAACACTGCTGATAATTTTCCAGATAACGTGATGCATCTATTTTACTTGCAATGCAAGTATCTTTTTGTTTCTTTTATGTCCCTGCTTCTTGGCTTCCACAAGACTGAAATGCTATGATCTTAATGGCCACCATTAATCGTATCTACAACTTTCTGGAAAAAAGAGCCTTTTGATTTTTCTCCCCCCAACTCTGTGTGTGTATATGTGTATATCTTTCAATAACTGCAGATTTAAATATAGGATTGATACTAAAAATTATATTCGTCTCAGCACTCTTTCACATGCTTATGCACACAAACCCATTTCTTAAGCATAAGGAGCAAGTGGGAAGCTAGATTCTTTTTATTTACTTAAGAAAAATAGTTCTTTTTCATCCAGAAATACAGGAGTTGTAAAGGAACTTTTTTTTTCTTAGATTTTGAACTCCTTGGCAGGTGAACAAGAAAAGTGAAGTATCTGTATTTTGTACCTTTTTTATAAGTTTTTTTAAGAAGCTTATGAGCATTTGAGACTGATCCTATATAGGGGCAGTGACTCAAAGAATACATTCCTGAGCGTGGAAATAGATGCAAAGTAATTGACACTGATTAAAAAAGGGTTAACAAGAGTTTTTATGCCAACCATACTCCGCTTTTATTGCCTTATTCCATATAAAAAAGGAATCCCTATGGATTTTATTCTGCTAGTCGTTGCCGACTATAGGGGGAGGTGCTCATCTCCATTTCAAGGACTGTTGAGCTAGCGCTGTCCAAAAATGTTTCCACAGTCACGTGGCCAGCATGAAGTCACAGAGCGCTGTTGCCTTCCCAATGAAGTGGTACCTATTTATCTACTTGCATTTGCATGATTTCAAACTGCTAGGTTGGCAGGAGTTAGGGCAAGGACAGGCATTCACCCCATCACGTGACATGCGGGTCTCAAACATGGACTGTTGGCTTTTCAACCAACAAGCCCAGCATCTTAACCCCTGAGCCATCACCCCACCTCCTATTCTATATAATTGATTATCTCAACTTTCAAGTTGGGGGGGAAATGCCATCCCCTAAGAAATTGCTAAAAAAAAAAAAAGATTAATTTCAAACAAAGGTGTGGCTCTTCTCAATGATTACAGTATATGAGACAGACAGGATGTACCACGTCACCAAAGCGTGATGTCTCACACTGTGGTTCTTAACAGTTTCAGAACAGCAGATACCTGTGCCTAATGGCATAACAGGGATTCCCTTTGGGTAGAATCACTTTGTGCCCAACACAAGCATCGTTATCCCTAAGCCAGGCATATTTTGCAGGGGGGGAAAATGCTTTCCCCATCTTTCATTTGCTTGTTACAATCTATTTTAACGTTACCTGCTTGAATTCTTCAGGATAGGAAGGAGGCAGATCTGAAGTCTAATAAATCTCTTGGTTCCTGCTGTACAAAAAGTCCTGTACAAATCCTTGACTTTATAAATTATTACCTCTTCTGGATATAAAAAGAAAGAAGATTGATATAATTTTGAGGAGTCATCATAGTCAGCTAGAATCGGTGTGATTTAATAATACGTTGTTGCAGCGTACCTTAATACTAATGATCTTTTCACCGGAAAAAAAAAAAGTTCTGTCCTTCCTTTGATTTTTCATTTATGTCTTTGGGTTTTATTTGTCACATTTGTGTTGTACCTTTCCCCAAAGAAGCCCAGGACAATACAAATGAAGCCTTGTTTTATCCTTACATCCTTGCAGTGACCTTGCAAGGGGAAGTTAGCCTGAACCGTCTGTATGGTTGCTAAGCATTGCATTTGGGCTTGCAGTCCAGTTTCACAAGTCATTTGTTCAGTGCAGTGAATATTGTTGTCTTCCCTGACTCAGATAGGAAGTTTCAGCTCACAGCTCTTAGTGATGAGCTATATACAGGCAACAGCCTGTCTACTGGTTTATTTAAATAGTGTTTTTGGTCATTAAGGTTTTCAGGTGAGTTGTACTTGATTTTGCCTATCTCCCCCATTTCTGGTTGATACATGGCCTTGTTACAATAAAGCCTGTTAACTTTATCTACATGGATGGTTTCAACCACATTCCTATCAGTTTCTTCATGAAGTCTACCTTTTGGGTAGGGAGAACTGGAGGTATCACCATGTCATGTTTACCATATATATGTACAGGGAAGATCTGGTCTAGGCTGACTTTCTCCACAAAGTGTTTTATCATTTTATTTTTAACTCATTAAAATGCAAGAGAAATAAGCTGAAATTTTGTGCTGCCTCTTTTTCCCAATGAAGGTGATTTCCATTTCTTTCCAAACTTGTGCGGGCAACTTTTTAAAGTCTCTTACATTTTAATTCCATTTTATCCCTCTTATTTATCCTTACTTATTTTGCAGCAAGAGAAACCACTGAGATTAAAAAAGGAAAAACATGTAAAGTAATATCTTAAAGCCTAAATTATTAAAAAGAAAAATGTCTGCAGTTCAAAACTTACAAAGCTCACTAAACCCCAAGATTATTAAAATGTTTAGCCAGTCATTTCCTTATATAACACATAAACAAGGACAATCTTGGAGTTAACAAATCTTTGTTGTCTTCTGCAAAAACAAATGTGAGATGCCTTTCCCAATAGGAACACATGGGAATTATAGTCCAGTATCTTTGTCTGATAAGCACCTTAATTGAGAGGTTTGTGTGTCTCAGTCCCCAGTCCTACTTGGGTGAAGAGGCTGATATCCATGTTCTACTTGGGCCTGGATCAAAAGAGAAAACATCATTCATTCAGACAAAATGGGCTCAAGACAAAAAGGAGCTACTTACCAGAGGTGGGTTTTAGCAGGTTCTGACTAGTTCTGGAGAACTAGCAGAAATTTTGAGTAGTTCAGAGAACCAGTAGTAAAAATGCTGACTGGCTCCGCCCCCATCTATTCTCTGCCTCCTAAGTCCCAGCTGATCAGGAGGAAATGGGGATTTTGCAGTAACCTTCCCCTGGATTGGGGAGGGAATGGAGTATCCTTCCCCTGCCATGCCCACCAAGCCACACCCACCAAGCCATGCCACACCCACTAAGCTACACCCACAGAACTGGTAGTAAAAAAATTTGAAACCCACCACTGCTACTTACCCCTTCTCAGTTTTGAAATATCTTTATGTGCATTGAATTATCCTTTAAAAGCTGAGTTCATTGTTTTGCTCAACTCAATATATTTGAATCTATGAATTAATTCTGTGATCCCTTTTACCTGCAGAAGAATTTACTTTGTATTGGAGGCGCACTCCAACCAAAGAAGAAGACCATTTTTTTAAAATTTATTTTTTATTTTTGCTTCTCCTTGCTCATTCCTTTAAAATGCCCTGATTTTCTAGAGGAAGAGAAGCTGCATCAGTGAGATTCGTTTCTTTTCCTTAATGGTAATAGAAATATCACTTGAGTAACATCCCAGATATTATTCTGGTGGCACAGCAGACTAATTAACATCCACTTACATCTGCTGCCTGCAATTACTGCAACTTCAAATCTCACCAGGCTCAAGGTTGATTCAGCCTTCCATCCTTTCTAAGGTAGGTAAAATGAGAACCAAGATTATGGGGGCAATAAGCTGACTTTGTATAAATATACAAAAGTATGAAGGCTATTGCTTAACGCATTGTAAGCCGCCATGAGTCTCCGGAGAAGGGAGGCATATAAATCAAATTAAAAAAAAAATTACTTGAGTAACATCCCAGCTGCCAGAAATTTAGCAGTTTGAATCTCACCAGGCTGAAGGTTGACTCAGCCTTCCAACCTTCCAAGATCAGTAAAATGAGGACCCAAATTGTTGGGGGCAATATGCTGACTCTGTAAACTGCTTAGAAGGGGCTGTAAATCACTGTGAAGCGGTATATAAATCTAAGTGCTATTGCTATCCCATGCACAGGAACATAAGATCTGGTTCCAAGTTCAGAGTTACCACATTGAAATGGAAGGTCCATTTCAAGAAGTAGATGGATAGATAGATAGAATTCTTTTTTGGCTAAGTGTGATTGGACACACAAGGAATTTGTCTTGGTGCATATGCTCTCAGTGTACATAAAAGAAAAGATACGTTCATCAAGAATCATAAGGTACACTTAATGATAGTCAGAGGGTACAAACAAGAAATCAGGAAACAATATCAATATGAATTGTAAGGATTACAAGCAACAAAAGTAGCTAGGTTGTAGATGTTATGCACATTGTTTGATGGTTGTGCTTTAGATTTTATGCTTTTTTTTGGAATTGGCTTGTCTTTTAGAATTTTTATTCTTTTATGTTTATAGTTTTGGGCCAGCCAGAGTTTATGATTGCAGAGGCATATGAATTGAATGAAATAAATGAACAAACTAGGTCTTCAGGATGGCAAGTGAAGAAGATAGTTGCTTTATCACCACTAGGAGATGCTCTGGCCCTTGAGTTAGATTTGTATTCTCTATGTTTGTTTTTCTCCAAGAAATGAACCTCAAAATAATGGATGTGCCTACAGAAAGTACACTGCAATTCCCAGGACAACTGGCAGTTAAAGTACAGGACTCTTCCAGCCAGAAGGGATCAAATATAAAAAGAGATCACATCAACATTTTATGTTCTTATAATGGCCAATCAGTCAAGATGGCCACAAGAAGGATATGGATGCAATAGCTGAGTTTGCTTTAATGAACCAAGAGAATTTGTCCAAATTCTCATCAGAATGTCCTTCTTGAAAATGAGCAAGAGATATAATTTTGTAACCAATTAGTAGGTCCAACATCTGCTTTCCTCTCAGTGAGGAGAATCTGCAAAGCTGTGGCTGACTTCCTATTTTCATCAACATTATCCCAAAGCAATATGCAGCTTTAATTTATGTATGCTATATGCTGCAATTTTTATTTTAAAAAATAAATGGATAAAATAATAAAGCCAGGACATTATTTTAAATGTGTATTAGAAATTAAGGGAAGAAGGAAAGATCATATGGAAGTACAGCCAAAGTCCAAGTTACTTAACTGTCTTCACCTCTTTTAGTCTCTTCCAACTTCCCTTTTAGTTTAGGTAAGCTCTACTAGGCAATTCTGTTCTTATTAAGTCAAGGAAGAAAGCCCGGAGTTTCAAAGAAAGAACTGAAGTCTGTAAATGCTACTTTCAGCAGTTCTATTCTATTCTTTTTGGGGGAGTGGGACCTGTCTGAAATCCTTGAGGGTTTCCATTCAAGATTTTTAAAACTCTAAACATTAAAATTCTTGGAGAGACAAGGTCACTTTCTCTCCATTAGGTTTCATTAAAAGCTAAGAAAGCAAAAAGGGACGCGGTGGCTCAGTGGCTAAGATGCTGAGCTTGTCGATCGAAAGGTCGGCGGTTCAGTGGTTTGAATCCCTAGTGCCGCACAATGGGGTGAGCTCCCGTTACTTGTCCCAACTTCTGCCAACCTAGCAGTTGGAAAGCAAGTAAAAAAATAGGCGCCACCTTTGGTGGGAAGGTAACAGTGTTCCATGTGCCTTTGGCATTTAGTCATGCCGGCCACATGACCACGGAGACATCTTCGGACAGTGCTGGCTCTTCAGCTTTGAAATGGAGATGAGCACCGCCCCCTGGAGTCGGAAATGACTACCACATATGTGCGAGGGGAATCTTTACCTTTACCTTAAGAAAGCAAGAACAAAATACATCCATTAGTACTATATATGCATGTATACTATGTTCCTCATGCAAACAAAAGAATATACACACATACACACATCCTACTATAATTTCCTATATCCTCATCTAGATGAAAAACCTGAAGCTCTCCAAATGTTGCTGAGCAGCTTTCAGGATCTCTGATGATTAGTCAAGATGGCTGGAGCTACAGGTTTCCTGCCTCAAATTACTATTTCACTTGAACTTCAACATTCTGGATGCCCAACCATTTTCAAGTCAAAGGCCCAACTTGGTGGTATAAAGAGCTACACTGCCAAAAATTGAGTCTAAAAGAAAGGCTAGGCCAGGGGTGAAATGTAAAATTTGTTACTACCGGTTCTGTGGGCGTGGCTTGGGGGGTAATGTGACTGGGTGGGCGTAGCCAACTTTTTTTTTTTTTAAACTTCAAAGCATTTTTTCTAATGCTTTGAAAAGCCTCTCTGCCGATCAGGCAACTCAGCTGGGAGTTGCCAGAGTCTTTTCAAAGCATTTTTTTTACCACCTCTTCAGCCAAGAGGTTGCAGGAAAAAATGCTTTGAAAAGCCTCTGATGATCCCAGCTGAGCCACGCGATCATCAGAGGCTTTTTTTTTACTTTTAAAAGCATTTTTTCGTCAGAAGAGGTTGTAGAAAAAATGCTTTTAAAAGTTAAAAAAAAAAGCTTCTGATGATCGTGCGGCTCAGCTGGGCATGGGGGCGGGGGGGGCAGGGATTTTTGCTACCGGTTCTCCGAACCACGCGCCGCCATCGCTATCGGATCAGGTGATCCGGTCCAAACCGGGAGCATTTCACCCCTGGGCTAGGCCCAAATGGGTATCTACAGCAGGTAGGAGTTGGTTAAAAGATATCAAGATGGCAACTACAAGTTCATAGTTGAAAACTGTCTTTTGCATTTGTGGCATTGGTGACTCACGTAAAAAAGAGTGGGCCTGATTACAGCCAACTTGTTTTGTTTTGGTTTTTTGACAGACACACTCCCCAGGATACTCCTGGACTAATTTAATTTAATTAAAATTAAATTCATAGTGAATTTGATTCCTTTCAAAGTATCTTTTTCATGTTTCTTTTGGCTCGTGTTAAAAATTATTCTTCAACTGCAACGTGGTGAGCCACATGTGGCTTCAGGGCAGCAAGTTGTGCATCATCCCCTAAATCCTTTACAAAAGAACTTCCATGATTTTCTCAAGATGACAGAAGAATTTGTCTCAGATGTGCAAGGCATTCTGAGATCAACCCTTTGGCTGAATGGCTACCAAAGTTTCTAAAAAAGCCTTCTTCTGGAGCAGGCTGTGTGGTTTTGGACATTTGGGCCTCGTGAAAAACCAAGGATGAGAACTAGTTTAATGTACTGGATTAGAAATGGGAGCTATGACTTCTAGACTGGAGGCTTGCTGGAGGACATAAAATACATACATAAATATTAAAACCCGTTAAAATAATCGAAAACCCCATCAGTCCAGGCTAGGTGCCGCGAACAGCCATGTTTTTAATTCGCGGCAGAAGGTGCGGAGGTCAGGAGCCAGCCGGAGCCCCAGGGGGAGTTGATTCCAAAGGGTGGGCACGCCCACAGAAAAAGCTCTACCCCTGGGGGCCGCC